TACTGCGCTGCCAGTGGGAGCTCTGCCGGTGTGCAGACACCAGCAGCAGGGAAACCAAAATCAGAGCTCCGAGACAAGAGAGAGGGTAAAGAAGTTCCACAGCCCAGCAGACAGGAGAATGAAGGACCCAGCTTTCCTGGTTCTCCTCTTGCCTTGCTGCAGTTCTGTCCTGCAGGGAGGCTGCAGAGCTGCCTCATGCTGCTTGCTGTGTTTGCTGCTCCATCTTCCCCTTCAGCTGCACCAAATCCTCACGGCAGAGCTCTGCTTGGCCCCAGGTGCTGTATAAGCAGATGATCCTCTTACACCAGCTGGAAATTCCATCAAGTTCACTGGTGTCGTGGTTCAAGCCCAGCCGGCAACCTGGAACCATGCAGCCACTCGCTCACTTTTTCAGATATGTGATATGCTGCATTTTGTTGTTACTTTTCTGGATCCTAAAAAGTGTAAACATGTTTTGGTTGTGTCCCAGTTAATATTAGTAGAAACCTTTTATGTTCATGTCATGCTGAAGTGAAAGGGATTAAATAGTAACTTTAAAATTTAGAGATGTAGAATATGGAGGCTTCTGAGTGACTTTTTTTAAATAAGTACAGGATAGCTTCGATAAGTGAACCTTTTAGAATCTGGAGCAAAGGAAAAGAAAATAATGGAAGCAATGTTGTGTGTGTGTGCTTCACAGTGAAAATGTAAGATTTTCATCCATTGATGTCTGGTTAGATCCCCTGTGTAATGATTTAAAGATCCTGGCAAACGTTTTTCATCTGTGATCTTGGAAGGGTGGTCTGAATAACTGCAGCGCTAGCTGGGAAGATGCAGACAAGAGGTCTTTCCTATACTGTCTTCAGCAAGGATAAAGGCTCATCCTGGGCTTCTGCTCAAAATTGTTTGCGCTTCTGTGATACCTCGTTTGTCTGAACTGGTTTTTTTTTCCCTGAAACATACTTCTTTGTACAAAAAACCTTGTAATTAAGCTTTAAGAAAAAGATAAGACACTATAAGTTAGTCACTAAGGAAGTGCAAAGAAAGATATATACAAATATACAGCCTAGATTTCATTGTCTGATTACTGGAACTGGAACTCAGCTTTGAATATCTTGCCAAGCCCACGGAAAACCAGAACAAAACTATGAGAAAACAAATCACTGTTCTTCTGAAGACTGTTCAAGTAGCTCCTGAATTACGTATGTGCCTGCAACATTTCAATTAGTGTAGGCTAAGCTTATTGGGATGCATTAGGTCCTGTTTTTAAAACAGAGTCAATTTCCTGGAAACTTCAGTTGTGGAGGGAAACTTTATTCTTTACACATTAACATTAATATCAGAAATATCTATTTTCCTCCACTGTCTTGAAGAGGAAATCTGTATAAGTTGGTGTAGATTTGTGCTGAAAGCATCCAAACTATGCTATAGAATATATGAACACAAAGAAGAAGATGGCTCTGAGAACGCTATGAAAGATGGTAGCTAGAAACATGTTTCTTAACCACAGCTAATTATTTCTATAATTTCTGAAGTGCTCAAGGTTGGTCTGGATTGTTCTTTTTGCTGCCAGGTTCCTGTGTCTCTTTCCAGTAGCTCTTAAGAATTTAGGCAGTGAGTAGGTAGGAAGTGAGCAGAGCTTTGCTCATATCCAGGCACTGGCAGCTTGGACTTTCTGGAATATGTCAATAGTATTTGCACAGCTAGACTGCTCATGTGTTGTAGTCACCTCATGTGGAGTAAAATCTTCCTTGTGCCTAAAAATAGTTGTTGGCCCGTTCCTTTGGGCAGTGTCATTTCCTAGTTGAACAGTTTGGAAGATGAAAAAGTCAACCTGAAGAATTTCAATTTCAGCGACTCAGTTTTGCTTCATTTGCTTCTCATTTTGCCAAGTTTCATACTGGATGTATGTAGTAACCAGACCAGACAGTGCTGCCATTTCAGCTGTCTGTAGTAATGTTTATAAAACTGGCTAACTGGAATTACACTTGTATGTTAACGGTAACTTCCCGATTTAAGGAAAGAACAGAGTAATGGACAATTGTCATTAATAACAGAGTGTGGAACCAATAGGAATTAATCATTGAAACTCCACACAAAAAAAAAGGCGGGGGGGGGAGAGAAAATTGTGATTTCATGTAGAAAATGGTGTTATTTTAGAGCATGTCGTGCCCAATGTTTTTAAAAATTAATGAGGAGCTGAGGCTTTTCAGATTAATTTTAGCCATTTTAAAAGACTTAATCTTTGTGGAAACAGTGTTGCAGTGTCAGATCACTTAAAGGATATAGTTAAAAAAAGTATTCTTTGCAGTTGTTTTCTTCGTTGGTGGGATTAGTTCTCAGAACCAATTCGTTATATGGACCCATAACTAACACAGCTCAGAGATGGTAATGAATGACCTAGGCTGAGAGAAGAGCAAGAACTACTATACACAGTATCATAAAGTTATGGTTTGCTGTATAGGAATCATAGTGTCTCGATCATTACTGTTGATGAACAAATCTTACAAGCTATTGCTACCACTACTGCCAGTGATGCTGGAAAGAGCAGACCTAGCAAGCTTTTTTCACTTGAAAAATAAGGAGTGGGTCTGCAGCATAAAATCCTTGTATACAACAGTTTGAAAATCCATTCATATTTTTATACTGCTTATGTTACAGTAATATACAGGGAAATATAATATGAAAATTTTTAGTGGTAGAGTATAAAACAGGAAAATAAAGTCTGCCATTAAGGCAATGTTTGTGTATAATTGGCAATCCAGGATGCTCATACAGATCCTGCACAGGCTTAAATGTTGCCAATGTAATTAACTTCCAAGAAATTCATGGAATCAGTGTTGAATCTCTTCATAAAAGACAAATTTATTAAAAAGCTTCAGTTAAAGAAGGTAAAGAAATAGTTATGTTTCTAATGCTTTGAATTTTTTCCATCTCAGTTTAACTTTTGTCGAAACAGGCAATAAGAAAACAGTAAGTGGAATGCATTAGAGTTACTTCTGTAAATATAAACCAGTGTTATGTGAAATATGTAATAGTGAGTCTGTTTTATGATTCATTATTGCATATGTATTATTTAGATGTGATGTTCAGCAGAATGTGTTCTGCAGTAATGAACAGCCCAGATAAATGGGAAACCAAATTTGTTTCAATGTGAAATACGAATTCTGAGTTTTCTGTTACTGCTTTTCAGGATTTTTTGGGACAAATGTTTTGTACGCTGGGAGAAATAGTTGGATCACAGGGGAGCAGACTGGAAAAATCAATCGTGTGAGTATGTCACTGTTGAATGTGAATGAATATGTACTGCTTTATGAGGTGAGAGTTGTGGGGGTTTTTTACTGTGAGGTATCTGGATACTTGGAATCAACAGACATGGCTTCTAAGAGAGAATAAACTGTTAGGTGCAATAGAAGTCTTTCTTTGTAGACTAAGATAATTTAAGTTTCAATTTAGACAATTAGCAAAAGAATCGACTCATCCAGAATTTTTGTCAACTTCATTACAACTTGCATTAGGAATAGTTTGAGTAAAATAATCTTAAAAATGTTTTTTCTTCCTAGCTTGCAAATTAGCACATCATAAATCTTTATTGCCTTTTGTTTTACTTTTATATTTATTTATTTTATTTGCCTTTCAAGGGAAAAAACCCTCCGTGCTTCAAATCCAAACATGTATTTCTATTGTTCCAAATAATACAATTCCGAAACAATGAGGCCATGTAAAGTATCAAATATTTTCTATTTATCCTATTAAATTTATAAAAAACTCCCTTAGAATCAATGGATTTTTCTCCCACTGGGAGTATTGTGATGTTTACAAGCCATTGTTCATAGGGTTGTAAGGCATTTAAAATAAGAATTATTTGAATGATCTTCATTTTCTAATCCTGAATGTTTGAGTAATTGAAAATATTTTACAATTTTTATCTAAATGTATGCTACAAATTCACCTATGACATTAAAAGCAAACATTTAAAGGTTCAGCTGGACATTTCCTGTGATAATAACTTTCAATTTGGAATTTTTATTGTTTTTCAGACAAAATGCTAAAAAATCAATACTTGAATTCAATTAAATTCTTAAATTTTTATAATTCCTATGCAAGCATAAGCTTGGAAAAGCTTCTGAAATTTCTTATTTTCATGCCAAAAGTAATTTCAGGTTGTCTCTAGAACTCTTTCTGGATGAACTAGCAGTTCAGAACACACCATTTAAGTTGATAAACTAAAAGAGAATTTACATGGTTTTCCTTTAATCTAAGGATCATTATGAAATAAAAACTTATAAAGTAAAAGAAATGTTTCCCTTACAAAAACTATGGCATACTTTAATTATATTTTAAGTTTAGAAAATATTTTAATGGGATTTAATCTACTTGAATTTGAGACTTGTGCACACCTGAAACAAATCCTTTTAAATCATAAATACCAGGAGCTGGCTAGCACTGCTTTGTGGGGAGGCAGTCCTGTAATTATGCCCTTCCAGTCCATTAGCCTTGACTAAATTCTGTCAGTAAATGTCTTACTTCCAATCATTTGGGTTCCGTAGAAAG